GGAGCTGCCGTGGGGGGCCGATGGGCCACGGACAGGTCCCGGCTCTGCCCCCCCTCCGCAGTGACGGGGCACAAGTCCCTGGAGCCAGGGTTGTTAGGGAGAGTTGGAGCCACACAAAAACCACCCAGCGAGCGACTTTGGGCAGCACCAGCACCAGGGCATTTACCCCAGTGGGGCTGAGGTGCCAAAGAACCTGCAATGCACTTCTGCTTTTTGGGGAATCCAGAAATCACAGATCCACAGAGTGCCTGAGGTTGGGGGGTCTTAGGTGGGCTCTGCAAGGTTGCCCCATCCCTACAGTGGCTGGTGGGATTGTGGCAAATGGCAAAAATATCTCCTTGTGTAGCCCTGTGCCTCTGGGTGTGAGGCCTAAAAGGCAAAGAAATGAAACAAAACAGGTTCTCAGCCAGATGCTTCTAAAGGTTCCATATCCCCAGGGGATGTGGCTGCCCTACAGCACATCTTTGGTGTTCTTGTATCATGCATCAGACCCCAGAACACCATTAGATTACCTTAAATACAGGATCTTTAAGGGTAATATGTCAGAGATACTTTATGAAACTTCTGAGGTGCACTTTCCTTTGAGGACAGAGGAAAGGAGAATTATTTTCCCATGTTGCCAGAGCTGAGCATGGGTGCTGGGAGAACACAGCCCATGGTGAGACCACAGAAAGCCCCTACAGCGACCTGCACAGGGCAGGCTAAGCCCTGGCACAGCCACTGCTTTCCAAGACAACATTTTTCAAGGGGAAACAGCACATGGCTGTTTTGGGAATGACCTGGACATGGACCTTTCCATCAAACCCCAGCTACCCACAGGTGAACCTCCCTGCTCAGAACTTCAGGTGCATAGACAAAGAATACAGCTAAGCACAGAGTAGATGGAATGATCCTCTTCCCTTCTCAGCCTTGTTATTTCTGCTGCTCAGTGCTTTCCCTGGGAACGCACCTTCCTGGGGAAGTATTTTGGGATCCAATGACTCCTTGGCTCCTGGTCCCTCTCCCCATCAGCTGCCTCCAACAACAGCCTCACCTTCAGCTTTCCAATCTGATTATTTCACCTTCAATCCCACCTGTCTTCAGGGGCACCAAACATCAGAGCAGATGGCAGAGGCTCAAAAAAAAAAAAACACCACATGGCATTTGGCTTTTCCAAGTCATCCTGTTTCCAAATTTAGACCAAAAAGAAATCCGATCAGTCAAATCCAATTCTGGCTGGGCTGTAAGTCTGGAAAAATGGATTATACAAAGTATCTGACATCAACAGATTGATGTGAATGCTGAATTGAGTTTAGGAGAAGATCAAAGTGTCATCAATGGATTTAAAAATAGGACTAACACTAAAGCACCTTGACAAAATATTACATCATTGATAAGAGGAAAAATTTTCCACTGGGTTATGCCAGCACTGACACAAGCATCACCCACTGGGCACTGCTGCCACCCCAGGGCTGCCCTGGCCAGAGGAGGGGGAACCATCTGGCTGCTAACTCCAACACCAAGCCCTAAATTTTTGAGGCTCCTGTTTCAGTCCTAGCAGGGTTAAAACAGGGGCTGACTGCAACAGTGACAGCTCACTTTATTGTGAGCATCTATTTAAAATTAATTTAAGAAAATCTAATTTTAATGCTACCTGTATGCTTTTCACTGTCCTTACATAGAAGTTAAACAGAAGAACATCCTGTCCTGCCCTGCATCTGCAACAGCATCATCACTCCTGCCTGCTGCCCTCCCCAGATTAGCTGTTACACCTAATACCTGCCTTGAATTCCTCACCTCAGTCTTAAAGATTACAGCACTGGTCAGACACTCAGGTGCTTACACAGGTCTCCACTTCCATTTTAAGTGAAAAATTACTACAAAACAGATAAATTTTAATAAAGAAACCTTTATTAAACTTGTGCGTTACAAAGCTCTCCCAGAGCTGTCCCGGTGCTCGGTGTTAGGATGCCCTCTACCACCCCAGCTGAGGACTGCTGCTGCAGGGACACCAAACATCTGTCCTGCCCGAGCTGGCCAGCTCAGAACAGAGAATGCAGAGCCTTGGAGTAACCTGAGCATGCACCTACAGCAGCCAAACATCCATGCATAGCCTGTGAGAAGCAGAGCGTGTTACCGTGGTTGAGATGCTGAAATCAAGGGAACGAGATTCACATCTTCCCATGAAAACATTTGTCCACAAGTTGGAAAATCAGTAAAGTGAATCTTTTCTTCCAGGCCCTCAAGTTCAAAGTAAGATTTTTATTTCAGATCTCTGGCTGATAAACTATTGACTTGAATGAGCTTTGAACAGCTGCCCTACATCAGCACAGACTAGAAAACTAATCAGCTCTGGTAGCATGCCACAAGGAAGAGTATTTACAGAGAACTCTCAGAAATGCCATTTAGAAGTGGAAATATATATCCATTTGAACTCCAGCACTAATTGTGTCTTATCCTGAATACTTCCCCATATTCCTGAATTCAAACATTGGCTAAACTGACAAGACCACAGACCAGCAAACTAATCAGCTAATGGAAGACACTACAGTCATAATTAAAGGCCACAAAAAAGGGATTGCAAATCTTTTCATGGGTATGGCCTGGCCCCACTGATCCCATGGGAAAGTTAAAATAAAACAAGCTGATGTTATTTTCCTGAGGAAGATTTTCTTGCAAATAAACCAATAAATCCAATAATGAGCCAAAATATTGGTTCAAGCCAGATTTTCCTTCTATATACATGTGTGGGAATATGGGTTAGAGCAGCAGAGCCAAGCCTACAACCTGTGCAAATTTTGTATCTATAGTCTGTGGGCAAGTCAGGTGCAGTGTAAAACCACTGCACTACTTCAGTAACTCACCCAGACTTTGTCACTTGTTCCTCTCTGTGGTCCTGTTGATAAAGCAGCACTAATCCTCCCACTGCAGGGACCCTGCCAGGCAAAGCTCTGCTCTCCTCTCCCACAACTCCCAGCTCAGTGAAAGTCCTGGAGCTCCTCGAGCTCAGTCAGTCTTCACTGGGCAGGAAAAGTTGTTCTAGAGTGATGGTTCAGTAAGAAGTGGGATCAAAAGGTGCAGATCTGGCTTCTCAATGTGGCTCTCAAGGAGAGGTACAATTGCTGCTGCTCGTGTTTGGAAGGAACATCTTTCCAGCCCCACAACCCCAGGTCTCTGAGCAGGTAGAAGGAGCAGACTCTGGTCCACAGGAGCTCCATGCAGGGTGTTACTGCTCATCTGTCCAACCCACACACATTTCATCTTTTTTTCCTCAACTCTGGGCACTGTTTGGCTGCCACTTACAATCCAATTCTCAGTTTTGACAGCAATATGTTGGTGTTCAATAATTTTACATTACCAGTAGTATAGTCTACTAAATGTGAGCAGACATCCTGCATGTCTGAAGCCTGCCAGAGCACCTCTTCTGTTGTCACTTGGTTTGATGTGTTTATCTCTGCAGGGATGAATGATGCAAACACTAGTCTGCACCAGAGACAACACCACTGTGCCAGGATGGCTCATTCCCAATCCTTTCTGTCACCAGAATAAAACCCTGCCCAGAATCTACTGCAAGAAGCCACAGAAAGTTTGTTCCTTGGGGTGTAACCAAAAACCAGAGCTGGCAAACACGGTATTGTGTACACAGAAAGACTTATTCATGGGCCCAAGATAGTCTCTGGGTACCAGCAGTAGGCAGCACATGGGTCTGAGACTGAGACATGGCTTCTTAAACCACTGAAGTTCATCTGGATGCTGAGACTGTATTAAAAGGAAAGCCACTACCACCACAGAGTAAGAGAGCCACAGCTCTAGCCAGTATCACGTTTCCAGCTGTATCAAAACAATTTTCTCAAAACAAAGCACTCTTTCTCCTCTGTGCAGTGACCCATCCCCCAGGGGTTACATCCATTTGCAGCATCTTCATCACCCACTGGTCCTTCCTGGCCCCATCAACGAACTCATCAAGAGACAACTGCCCTGTGTACGAGAGGAGAAGGACAAGATGCAGAGACAAAACATGACAGATAAGACAAGAGAAAGGCAAGAAGTAAAAGGGATCTACATTTCAGAAAATAGACTAATGAGGCAAAAGCAGTACTTCATTTCCCCACGTAGTTCAGGCCAGCTGAAAGAAACCACCACCTGTAACCCAATGTGTCCACACCTACCCCATCCCAGCTGAGGGGAAATGTGGCCTCTGCTCACACATGCTCCTCCAGGAGGGTTGCAAGTCTGATCCTGCAAGCTCCAATTTGACTAGAGCCACTCTCTTTACCCAGGCTCTATGTGCTGGGACTGGGGCTTCAAATCCAGACAGAATAGTGACCCCTCTGTGTTCTATATTAAAACAACAATGAAAATGATTTCTTCCTGCTGCACCAAGTTATCCCTGATTCTATCAAACAGACTAGAACCAAACCCAATGTGTCTAATGTGAGTAACATAATAGTCCTGTGTGATTTCTTGATAGGTGTAATTAAAGGTAGCCTGCCCAGCACAGATAACATCTCATCCCCCTGAATGCAATCAATCACTTACCATCCCCATTCTCATCCACCAGCTGAAATATCCTGTCCACAACCTCCTCTGGTGTGAGCAATGGGGTCCTCTCCTCCACATCTGACCGACACACTTGCTTCAGCTTGTAGATAGACTGAGAAAAAGTTCACAGATTAGGAGAAGCACTGGAAAATGAAAAGCAGTGAACTCTAGTATCTTCCCAACAGTGTAAAGGTCTCCTGCAAAGGCTGTGGTTTTAACCTTTCTAGGAAGATCTGCCACTCAGGAGCCTCAGACCCTTAATGAAACCTCCGACCTTGAGCTCACACACTGCAGATGACTTCATTTGCTCTTTGAAGCTGCTGCCCTCCTATTTTCCCTAC